CATAAAAGATACATTAAATCAATAAAGAAAACATTACTCACACTGCCATGTATTTGACACACAAACATATGTACATATGTATACTCTTTGTTTATTGTCAAACTTTAGTTAATGCTTAAAGTCTGTGGTCAAATTGAATGTAGGTTAATATTGTTTATCTTACCACCACCACTAGTCTTTATAAATAGATGGCAGCTTCAAACGCGGAAAAAATCCAATCAATTCAGCAATAGTGATATCTCCGCCCAAAGCACATCTAGTGCTATAAAGAAAAATATTTCCTAAAGACTACGTAATGGAGTTTCAGTTAATGCCAAAAAATATATTATCTACATTTCGTATACATCGCATCCGTCTCGTTAAAATTGCTTGTATTATTATCAGTGTTCTCGTGAGCTCGACCGCATATTTGCCTGTTGAGGAAACCTTGAACCTAGCTTATGAATCACAATGATAAGTTCGGAATATAAAGAAAAACGATTCCTTGGAAAATGTACTAATTAAATAAATCAGCAAGAAAAAAGATAAGATCAAAGCTCTTTGAACTCTTAAGAAGCTACTTAAAGATAACCGCACGTGAAATATTGCTCTGTTTACGAAAATGCTGAGCTTTAGAAAATGATTCCAACTATATAAGGATCAGAAATATGTACAATGTGTTTTTTTACAAATTTAACGACTTTTGGCGAAATGTTGTTTTTTCCACATATAACTAGTATATTATATTGAAGACGTATTCGGTAGCCATGCTCCGAACGCTGGTAGTAATACTAACAGGTTTAGTTGACCGATATTTAAGGTTAAGCCAACGTTTACTTTTTGTCAATTATACTTTAAAATTTTAATAGCATCAGCAATTTGTAGGCCGTTTCCACACATCCGACAAAAAGTGTGAAATATCTGAATAGCTTATTCCATGAGTTATAGTTACAGAATTTAGTGTACATATTAATGTAGATTACATTGATTTTATAAGAAATAAATTGGATGAGGCAAGGATCAGATAGCTAACCTAGCAACTAGATGGGATGTAATTATAGCCTATACAAAATAGCCAAACTCAAATAAAACATGCAAAAATATTAAATGTATTATTTATGACATGCAAGACCATTTCGGTGCTCAGCGGAACTGGCATCGTAATATTAACAATGACACTACTTACCAAAGAATTCATGATTTAGATCTCAGTACAAGTCGTATTACATTAGTTCAAATATTTTCACGTTTTATCTCGCGGTGCGTGGCGGCATTTCCCGGTGATATCTAATTAATGACTTAACACTATGTGGGACAAGGTAGTGAGTGTATAGTAGCTATGCCATGCCTGCGTCGCCCGGTGTGCAGAGAGTAATGATTGGAACGATGGAATTGAAACCGAAAACCGTTGTTCGGTCACAGAGACACGTCAATTATTCAGTTCAACGATCTATGCGAGCGGTTTATTAACGTTCGTTTGGAAAAAAATCAAATTCGAGCGCAGTATAGTGAACCTCCATTGTTGTCTCTGCTGGTGATCTATATTAACATTTCTATAGGTGTGACGGCGACAGATCACCTAGCAGCAGACCGTCTGTAGGCTCTCTGGTATCGCTGTCGAAGCCCCCCATAAAAAAGGCACTCCTAGCCAGTGCCATAACTGTCAATTGTACGGGCACTCTTCCCGTAACTGTCACGCGCGCCCCCGATGTGTTAAGTGTTTGGGCGATCACGCCACGGCCCTCTGCGCTCGCGACCAAAAAACCGCGACGGCACCGCCTAGCTGCGTCCTGTGTCGAACACAGGGTCACCCCGCGAATTACCGTGGTTGCCCCCGAGCCCCTAAAATAAATCGCCGCGTCGCCCGCCAAAACCGCCTCCGAGCTTCCGGCCCAGACATCAAAGCCTCGGCACCCTCTGCGTCGCAGGCTAAGCCAGCGTTCGTTCCGGCGGCGGTGCCCAGTGTCTCGGCCTGGGCAAAACCGCTGCCGTACACGAACACGGCTACAACTCCCTCCTCCGCGA